TGGTGTAGGTGGGCGTGACCGCCGGCGATGCCTCCTCGATCTTGCCCATCGCCGGCACCTCCTCCTTCTTCTCCTTTATCTCCTCGTACACGTGGTCGTTGCTGTAGACGGAGGCGGGGCGCGGGATGCCGACGCCCCTGCCTGCCAGGACGGCGTCCGCGTTGTAGGAGGGGTTGTCCACGACGGTGCCCAGGTGCGGCGAGCCGTCGCTCAGGGTCGTGCTGTTGCTGGCCGAGCGGCTGCGGCCGACGGGCAGGGTTGACAGGGTGGACAGCGTGGTGCGCGACGACGTGGACGACCTCAGGCTGGAGCCGGACATCCTGATGTAGCCGCCGTCCGAAGCCGAGCCCTTGGACATGTCCAGGTACTGGCTGTAGTCCTGCAGGTCCACGTAGTTGAGGGGCCGCTTCTTCCTGGGCTCCACCGCCATTACGGAGTCGGACGTGAGCTCCGTGACGGGCAGCGTCTTGTGCTGGAACTCCATGCTGCTTCGGGGCGAAATCTGCAGGATCTTGCGGGTCTCCTCCGACGAGTTCTTGACGCGGCGGTAAAGGCACATGAACAGCAGGACGACGATGATGGACAGAAAACTGCAGATTATCACCAAGCTGATAACCAGCAAGTTTAAAGAGTCGTCCTCTGGGTCCACCAGTGCTGTTCCTCCTAAAAAATGATATTATTTTAAACTTAAAAAAGAGCCATTGAAATATGGTATACCACCAAAAATATTAAAAGGAATAATGAACTGAACTTCTGTCATTTCATCACAGTTAAGCAAGAAAAGGCGCAAGCGTCATTATGCGCATCTCAGAGGAGGAGGCACTGACCTTGCTTGGGCAGATGGTGCTCTGTCATATGCAGGTGAATGAGCGGGCCGTTCACGTCCTCCCCGGAGGGCCTCACCCGCACCACACACCGCCAGTTGCCTTCGTCGTGCGGCTTCACCTCCTGCAGCGCCAGGGAGCAGTTGCCCTCTTTGAAGTCGCCCTCGATTCTGTAGTCGCCCGTGAAGTGTTTGGATCGGTTCTGGTTATCGTCCTCTGGAAAGACGGATTCCGTGAGATTGTGTCGACGAATGATAAGGTGCCGTGTTTCATCGCGTAATGTACGTACATTCAGAAGTAATGAGGCGTAAGAGCATTTCTTTATTTACCTTGGGATTTAGAGAGAACAGCTCCGTGCGGCATGATCCAGGAGCAGAACGTTATCGGCTGGTTCACCTGGCACTTGAGCACCTTCGGTTCGCCCACGGGAGTGTTCTGAATCTGGTCCTCGTCGGTGCCCTCAAACTCCACGGGCTCAGACTGAAACCAAAAGAATATTGAGTTACCGAGCTTCATTGGCGCCAGAGAAAACTTGGATTTATCTTATCTAGATCAACAAAATTAAATATGAAGGGAGTGGATTTCTTACAGTACTTGAAATAACATCGTGAAGTATACCTTCTCATGCTCCCGTCGGCCATGCCTCGGCGAGATGGGCTCCGTGACGGGGGGGGACCAAGTGGCACTTTCCGCCTCTGCAATGCCACACAAATGCCATTAGAAACTCTGCATAACACTTTTGCACGTGTTTTGATGGAAATTTGAATTAATATAGTCAAGAGTAAAAATTAGAAACCTTAAATGTAAACCGAAATTAATTTCTATATTTTAAGAACATAAACCCGAAGGAGGTGAATGCAGTTCCCTACCTGTGATAACTCTAAGCGTCGCTGGCTTGCTCATGAGGAACTTCGACGAATGGAACTTGAGAGCCTGGCACAGCCACTGACCCTCTTGAACTTTACGCACCTGAAACCATTCAAAAAAGTATTGGTCAGTATCAGTGCAATTAGTACTCGAAAAACATTCGCAAATATTGAATTGACTCGCTGCGATCATCCCAAAGTGTGTGTTTCGGCCGCTAAGCCAGCTATACGTTCAGGGAGGGGGCTTACCTGCTTTATTTTGATGGAGCAGTCCCTCTGGTGCGCCGGGCTGAAGTCCTTGACTAGCACCGGCGTGATGCGCTCATCGAAGAAGTGGAGGCCGAGCTCCAGGTAGTACCAGCGGCACACGTGGGCTTGCTCGGACGTCTGGGGAGGAGAGCGGGGAGGTGTGAGTGCTTTGGAGGGGAAGTAGTTGCTGATATTATTATTATTTATTATTTATTTTAAATTGTTATTGTTGTTGTTGCTGTTGTTACCATTATTATTATTATTATTATTATTATTATTATTATTGCTACTACTGTTACCATAAGTATTATTATTACAATTATCATCACCATCATCATTATTATTACAGTTACTGTTATTGTCTATCTATATATCCATCCATCAATCGGCACAAGCCAGCTCCAACGTCCTCAAGGCTGCAACTTACCATGCACTTGAGGACGACGCGCTCCCCCTCCGGCACCGTGACGTTGGAGGGCTGGACGATGAACTCGGACGGGGGCGAGGGGCCGCCGTGACGAAGGGCGTCTCCGCTCCAGGGATGCCACGTCGCTAGGCACGCTGGGGAGGCAGGGAGAGGGGGAGGTTGGATTAGAAGGAGAAATGGGGTGGGGGGATCGGGTTTGTTGTGACACGTTGTTTTTGATTGTTTAAAAAATGTTGAAAGGTTCATTTGATTGTGAAGAGCTTATGGAAAATGTTTATTTAATTATGATTTAATAAAATACGAAGGTGATTTGTTTATGAAAAATTGATTGAAGACGAGAGGGAGAGAGAGAGGGAATGAGAATGAGAGAATGACAGTAAGCTTGTTATTTCCTGTGAACGTCCTCATTTTTTTCCGTTTCGAAATATTGGATCACCGTTTGGCATTTTTATTTTGTTCAGGAAATAATCCATCCGGAAGTTGTAGGATTCCTCTGATTGGATGAATTAATCTTGCGTTTTATTGCATCTGCATGAACACGATTGCGCTTGCTGGTGGCGATGCATGACGTCATACGCGGATGTCGCATCCCCCCCCCCCTCTTACAACAGGTAGTGCGGTTGCTGGAAAAAAGCGGTATTTATGTGATTTTTTTTCTTCTTCTTTATTCCCGTCTTGTAACCGCGCGTTAAAATGGAAGGACATTTGTTCGGTGCGCATGGACTAGAAATAGACGAAGGAGTATAATTTCTGTCTGTCTATTTCGGTCTCTCTGTGTATCTATTCCATTTGCCAGTTTGTCTGTTCAACTGTCTGTCTATTCATTCGAGTGGGTGTATGCGTGTGCGTGCGTGTATGTTTGCCTTTTATTTATTTGTTTACATTTATTTATTTGTGTTCATCTAGTTATGTGTGTGTGTGTGTGTGTGTGTGTGAGAGAGAGAGAGAGAGAGAGAGAGAGAGAGAGAGAGAGAGAGAGAGAGAGAGAGAGAGAGAGAGAGAGAGAGAGAGAGAGAGAGAGAGAGAGAGAGAGAGAGACAGGGATGGATGCACATGCTGTATATGTTCGTGTATATACATTCTCCATCTAAACACATTATTATTCTTCATTGTTTTAAGACTTCGAGTTCTTCCTGTCGACATGTACTTACCCGATGAATCATAGTCTTATATAAAAACAATGGACACGCACCTTGACTTCAAATTATTATTATTTTTTCTTTTCTTTTTTTACTTGTTCTTTAAAGACAGGGAGCTTAAATGTATTTGTTCAAACCGAACGGATGGGGCCAAGGGGTAAAAGGAGTCCAGGTGAGTCCAGGTGAGTCTCAGACACGCCAGGCAGGTTGGGTGTGTTGTGAGTCACCTGGCGTATAAGGCCGCAAGGGATGAGTAATACGAAAATGTATTTCGTGGCCTCTTCCTGTTTTTTAAGTGTCTTTGGTACGTGATGTGGTTTGTGTGTGTGTGTGTGTATGCGTGTGTGTGTGTGGGTGTTTGTTTGTGTGTGTGTGTGTGATTTAGTTGGGGGTTGTGCTTGTGTGGGTGGGGTGGGTGTTTGTGTGTGTGTTGTGTTGTTTGTGTGTATGCGCGGGCGTGTTGTAGTTTAGTTGGGGGGGTTGTGCTGTGTGGGTGGATGGGTTTCTATGCGCGTGTGTCGGTTTGTGAGCGTGGGGTGGGGGGTAATTTGTATGTGTGTTTTTGTTTGTTTGTTTGTTAGGGGGGTTAATGGATTGTGATGGTGTGCGTGTGTGTGTGTGAGTGCGAATACGTGGTCTTGAGTTTACCATTACCAACGCCTTCGAATCTTCAACCTTGGTCTTTAATTGTCCGGTTGTGAGTCGTGGGCGCTTCCCAGTTGAAGGATTTTACCGGGTTTTATTTAGTCATTCCGTGTGCGCCCGTGTTGTCAAATTTAGGGCATCATTGCACCGCTCGGGAAGGTTAGTGCTGGGGAACGTTGTAGTTGCTGTTTGTCAGAATTTTGTAAGCGCTTTCAACATGTTTCTGCCTTTCTCGTTTCTCTCTCTCTCCTCTCTCTCTCTCTCTCTCTCTCTCTCTCTCTCTCTCTCTCTCTCTCTCTCTCCTCTCTCTCTCTCTCTCTCTCTCTCTTTTCCTCCCCTCCCTCCATCCCTCCCTGTCTCTCTTCCTCCCTCCATCCCTCCCTCCCTCCCTTCCTTCCTCCCTCTCTCTTTTCTCTCTTGTTTTGAGTTCATTTCCATCTGCCAGTTTTTGCAAGTCATCAACCGGAGATGAGTCCGCCGAACGTAGTTTTGGGCGAAGAAACATTGGTAATGACAAAAAAAAAATCCATTATGTGTCAGTGTATTTATTTTATTGTTGTTTTTATTTATTTGTATCTGTTTTATTATCTTTATATCGATACAGAAAAGATAAAAATGAGAAAGGAAGATCGTAATGTAGCGTTACAGAACCGAAGCTTAAAATAAGAGTCGAAGATCACCCTTAAGTTTTACAGTAGTGAATGAACCGAAGATCAGAACCGAAGATCACCCTACAGTGAACCAGAACCGAAGATCACCCTATGAACCAGAACCGAAGATCACCCTACATGAACCAACCGAAGATCATTGATCACCCTATAATGAACCAGAACCGAAGATCACCCTACAGTGAACCAGAACCGAAGATCACCCTATAATGAACCAGAACCGAAGATCACCCTACAGTGAACCAGAACCGAAGATCACCCTATAGTGAACCAGAACCGAAGATCACCCTATAGTGAACCAGAACCGAAGATCACCCTACAGTGAACCAGAACCGAAGATCACCCTATAATGAACCAGAACCGAAGATCACCCTACAGTGAACCAGAACCGAAGATCACCCAACCCGAAGATCACCCTACAGTCGAAGATCACCCTATAGTGAACCAGAACCGAAGATCAGATAAGATCACCCTACAGTGAACCGAAGATCACCGAACCAGAACCGAAGATCACCCTATAGTGAACCCGAAGATCACCTACAGTGAACCAGAACGAAGATCACCCTATAATGAACCAGAACCGAAGATCACCCTACAGTGAACCAGAACCGAAGATCACCCTATAATGAACCAGAACCGAAGATCACCCTACAGTGAACCAGAACCGAAGATCACCCTATAATGAACCAGAACCGAAGATCACCCTATAGTGAACCAGAACCGAAGATCACCCTACAGTGAACCAGAACCGAAGATCACCCTACAGTGAACCAGAACCGGGGATCGTCATGCAGCCACACCGAACCGAATACAACAGGGTGCCACAGAACCGAGAGGCCGAACAGAGCCGCGATGCACCCCGGGCTGGAGTGGAAGGCGGAGGCGCAGAGCATCTTGTGTGACCTTCGCCGCCCCGCCTGTCACATGCCTCGTTGTCATGGCTCCGACACGGGACGCCTCTGCGGCATACTGAAGGTCAGCCTCAAATGAAGCAAGGAGAGAAGGAGGTGGACGCTGCAACTGCGCCCTGAAGCCAAATGGAGGGGGAGCCGTGGGCGAGTGGGCGGTTTGTGGTCCTTTTTCCCGCCCATAACCGGTGCGTCCGTTGTGAAATGGGGTCCTTCCGCAAGAGCGCCCTTGTTGAGGGCGCTTGGACGCTTTCAGACACGTGCTGACTGTGTGTGTGTTTGTCTTGTAAGCATTCGGACACGTGTTAGCTGTGTGTTATTAGTGTAAGCATTCGTCTTTGTGTGTCTGTGTGTGTGTGTTTCATGTATGCATGTATGTATGTATGTGTGCGCGTGCATGATCTCAATATAGCAGCGTTTCCGCATCTGACAAAAGCATTCACAGCAGACTTCAAGACTAAAACCAAGAATTCTTAAACTCTGATGTTTGATTTGATAACAAGAAAATAAAAATAAAATCAAAATAAATAATAAGAATCATAACACGTCATCCACAAAATAATCCGAGATCTGCGGAGGGTGGGGTGGGGGTGGGGGGTTGGGGGAGAGTGGTGAGCAACGGGCGTGGGCGTAGTGACGAGTGAAGGGCGGCGTGGGCGGGGTGGGCTGAAATGGTATCTGTGGCGAGACTGATTGCTGAACGGGCTTTTGTTTTCCGGCCACTCGTTGTGGGCGCCGACCGGGGGGGGGGGTCTCGGCCCGGCTCGTGTCCTCCTCTTTTCTCTTTAATTCTGTCTCTTTCATTTATCTCGGTTGTTTCTGTGTCTGTCTCTGTCTCTCTCTCTCTCTCTCTCTCTCTCTCTCTCTCTCTCTCTCTCTCTCTCTCTCTCTCTCTCTCTCTCTCTCTCTCTCTCTCTCTCTCTCTCTCCTCTCTCTCTCTCTTCTCTCTCTCTCTCTCTCTTCCCTCTTCTCTCTTTCCTCTCTCTCTATTCCTCTCTCTCTCTATTCCTCTCTCTCTCTCTTCCTCTCTCTCTCTCTTCCTCTCTCTCTCTTTCTCTCTCTCTTCTCTCTCTATCTATCTATCTATCTCTATCTATCTATCTATCTATCTATCTGTCTATCTATCTGTCTATCTATCTATCTATCTATCTATCTGTCTATCTATCTATCTGTCTATCTATCTATCTATTTATCAACCTACCTACCTACCTATAATCCTCTACCCCCCTTCAGTAGTACGCTTCATGTCGAAAAGGCCACTTCGGCGTCGGCCACGGTGTCCCCGAAGCGCTCCGGGCCCGGGGGGAGCGCGGTCGCGGCGGAGGCTGGTCCGTTTCCTGGTGAATCACGGCCGGCGTCGTCGTCTCACCGCCTGTCCTTCTCCGCAGAGGCATCCAGCAGGAGAGATGCTGTTTGGGGGCGGGGTGTTCATTTTTTCCCTTCTTCTTCTTTTTTTTTCTTTCTTCTTTTTTTCTGTTTCTTTCTTTCTTTTCTTTCTTTCTTTCTTTGTGTCTTTCTTTCTTTCTGGGGGAGTTGTGTTTTTTCTTCTTTCTTTCTCTTTCTTTCTTTCTATGTATACCGATCTGCATCTGTCTACTTATATATATATATATATATATATATATATATATATATATATATATATATATATATATATAAATCTATTTATCTATCTATATATCTACCTGTCTCCATCTTTCTGTCTATATATTTTAATCTTTCAATCACTCACCTCCCTCCTTCCCTCCCTCCCTCCTTCATTCTGTATTTGTGT